AATACAAATAACATTAAAATAAATGAATAAAATCTAAATAAATGTGATCAATTTAAATACAGTATAAAGAATAAGCTATAGTTAGTAGAAAATTATTAAAATATTGAATACTAAATATTTTCAAAATATATTTTAAACATATGTGTAATACAATATACATGAAAACATGAAATATGTTAGGATGGGGTCCCTCGCACAGGGATGATCATATTTGGGTCCATGACATCTAAAATATTGAAAATCCTTGCCTTAGAGTAGTATATACAATAATGTATGCATGTGGTAATCAGCCCCAATAGATATACATGTAAATAAATAAAATACGCAGACTGGATTGAAAATGGCACTCCAATTAATAAAACAGCTAGTAAACCATACTCGAATGCAGCAAATGCCATTTAATATTTATTTAAACATTTCATTCTGCTTATAAACAAGTCAACCTTTTTTTGCAATAATAAATGTTATTACAGTTTGGGAAGATTCTTCTCGTGAACAAATAGTACATTTTGCGCATTATAAAACGTCTTTGGGGAAGTTGCTTTTTGAAATCATGACTACAGCACCTGATTACTCTGGTTTAGTTAACTTACAAGTTCCATATCTGCAACCATCTGCAAACACGCAGAAAACAGAAGTTTGCTCAAGTGAAGGTCAGTGTTACTAAATCAGTGACTAAACATCCTTCTTCCCCAAATGTTACATTTTAAGATTACACAACTCAAGAGTCCTCATCTCTTTCATCATCATCTTCCTCTTTACTCTTCTGTTCTTCCTCCTCACCATCATCTTCCTCCTCTGACGTCTCGTCACTGTCATCGTCCTCAGCCCTGAGTGTACAAACACACACGGGTTACTTCAGCTGACTTTCATTTGAATGGAAATTAAGTATTTTAATATTCAAACATAAATTTTTAACAGAATAAGAAAAAAAAACAGAGTCTCACTGGACTGGTCTGTTGAGATTCACAAAGTCTCTTCCTGAGTCCACATCGAAAGGATCTGGACAAATTTTAAATAAACACACACACACACACACACACACACACACACACACACAACTTCAAAGTTAATATTTTCAAAACACTTACAGTACATTTGACTATTTTAAATCATCAAACCGTACCTAAATCCTCTTCCTGAGGGGCGGCACTGAGAAACTCTTTCTCCACAGCCAGTAGTTCCTCTTCTGATTGGCTGGAAGCGTAACGCTCTAGAAGAGTCTTATTCAGCTCCAAAAATCCCAAGCCCCACTTAAACTTCCTCAGCAGGAGCACAGCAAGGTCACGAAATCCTGATGCATTATCACAGAGAAACAAATTCACATGTTGACATGTTGCTGTCATTTAACTGCACTACCGTTCAAAAATTTGGGGTTAAAATAGTAATATTGTGAAATATTATTATAATTTCAAACAACTGTGTTCTATGTGAATATATTTTAAAATGTAATTTATTTCTGTGATCAAAGCTGAATTTTCAGCATCATTACTCCAGTCTTCAGTGTCACATGATCTTCAGAAATCATTCTAATATGCTGATTTGCTGCTCAAGAAACATTTCTGATGATTATCAATGTGGAAAACAGTCGTGCTGCTTCATATTTTTGTGAAAGAAGTTAAATTTTTTAACGATTCTTTGATAAATAGAAAGTTCAGCATACAGCATACAGCATACAGACCTACAAAACCCATAATACACAAAAACAGCAATAGAGAAATCTATAGCTGGGAGCTGCTTACCCACAATGCAGAAGGTGGCGGCATAAGCCTCGACGCAGGACAGCTTGCACGGCTTTCCGTAGTTTACAGGATTTGCTGCGACCAAGTATGGCAAAAGCCTCGGATGTGAGCCAATCATTTTGCTGAAAGGTGTGTCTTCGAGTCGCGCCCATGAACAGTCAATCACGGCTAGACCACCCCGTGCCACAATCTCCCTAGAAATGAAGAATATTATAAACTAAATACTGAGACAAATGTTTGTGTTTTTTAATTTTTATCTACACTACCGAAAGTTTAGGGTCGATAAGATTTCTTAATGTTTGTGAAATAAACAGTTCTGTTTACCAGGCTGTATTCATTTGATCAAAAATACTGTAAAAATGTGAAATATTATTACAAATTAAAATAACTCTCTTCTATCTGAATATACTTTAAAATGTAATTTATTCCTGTGATCAAAGCTGAATTTTCAGCATCATTACTCCAGTCTTCAGTGTCACGTGATCCTTCAGAAATCATTCTAATATGCTGATTTGCTGCTCAAGAAACATTTTGTATTAGTATCAATGTTGTAAACAGATTCTTTGATGAATAGAATGTTAAAAAAAAATTCAAAAATACTTGAAATTGCAACTTTTCTGTCACTTTTGGTGAATTTAATCCGTCCTTGCTGATTAAAAATAGTAAGATTTAATGCCTCTCTTTATCTCCCTGCACTGGCTGTTGGTTGCAGCTCACATCAAGCTCAAGACATTGATGCTTGCGTACAGAACAGGCTCAGCACCCGCCTACTTCCACTCACTATTACGATTCTTTCTTTAATCTTTGCCTGTCTAGCTTGTACTAATTTGAACAAAGCTTGAAACTTGGTATTAAGAGCACTTTCTGTGTCTATTTGCCTCTTTAAGATGAATCGCTTGATGTATTCCCCAATTGTAAGTCACTTTGGATAAGTGTCTGCTAAATGAATACATGTAAATGTTAAAAAAGCCTTCTGAACAGTAGTGTACATAATGGTTGGGATGAGATTCACTATTGAACATTACTATAAAATTGTTATACTTCCAGACCTCTAAAATGTTGGGTTTCATATTGATGCTTGTTTGTGTGAATGGATTTTAAAGTGTGAATGGTAAGTGTGAATGGATTTAAAAAAACAATTAAAGGGGTCATATGATGCGATTTCAAGTTTTCCTTTCTCGTTGGAGTGTTACAAGCTGATTGTGCATAGCTAAGATCCCTGAAGTTGCAAAGACTAAAGTCTCAAAACCAAAGAGATATTCTTTATCAAAGTTAAGACTCTGCCACGCCCCCTAAAACGGCTCGTTCTAACACGCCCCCACATATCTACCTCACTATGTGGAAATATTAGCATAATGCCGCCCAAATGTTCATGCAAAGAAAGAAGGCGTGGTTTCAGTAACCGCAGTTAGTGTTGAAGCAGCCATGTCAGGGAGACGCTGTGTGTTTCTAGGCGAAAGCAAAAGCACTTTATTTGGCCTTCCGAAAGTAGATGCATTTAGGAATCTTTAAGATTACTGACAACAGAACAGCAATGCATTTTATGGACGACTGTTTCGTGAACCTAGGAGAGGAGGTAATTCTGACTTTGCTATGACAATGTGGCGCTTCTGAATCAGCTACTGTTTTTTTGTTATTAGTTTAAGTATTTGCTATTGACTGTTCAAATGCGGAGTTTTGCGCATCGTGTGTGTGTGTGTGTGTGTGCGCGAGCAGCGAGAGCAAGAGAGAGAGAGAGAGAGAGAGAGAGAGCGTGAGAGAGCGAGCGAGCGAGAGGGAGAGAGAGAGCGGGAGAGCGAGAGAGGGGGTCACATCACAGTGGAGCCAGCTGTCTTAACCGTGGCTTGTGTACTGCAAACACATACCAGCTTCATCGCTGTGTCTGTCACGCGACTCTGTTCCCCTTTCGGGCTTGAACTGATGGTAAAACTAATGACATTATTTACTGTCTTTACATTTATTTTGAAAGATGAAGCTCGCGATTATGGTAAGGGGCGTTACATTTCCGACGAGTGCGTGCGGTGTTCGGCCAATCACAATGCACTGGGTCAGCTGGCCAATCAGAGCAGACTGCGCTTGTCAGAAGGAGGGACTTTGTAGAAAACGAAGCGTTTGATAGAGGCGGGGCATAGAGGACCTACAATAATGTACAGTATTTGAAAAATAATGTGTTTTTTGAACATTAAAGCATGTCAACATATTCTGTTACACCATTATTTACACAAAATAATGATCTTTAAAAAAGCATCATATGACCCCTTTAATGATTCCTGTGGCCCACACCTGTCTGCGGGTGTAACGTATTTGGCTCCCATCGGACTGAGTATCAGGCCATTGAAGCGCTGGTTGAGTCGCAGGCAGCGCACAAAACCTTTCCTGACCAGCTTGCGTCCTGTACACCGTTTCGGGTCACAGTGACCCAGATCCCACATGGCCAACTGACAGGGCAACTTCACACCTCCTGCCGCCTCTGAATCCGCATCCTCACTGGCTGAAACACAGGCACAACTTCATTATACATAACTCATGTCTGTCAAGCTTTATTACAAAAAAAAATTAAGAGAGTAATTCACTTTATGTCATGAACCTAATCTGATATGTTTAAAAAAGATGACAACATTACATGCATTTCCTCTACATTCATCCATATGATAATCCACAACTATAACAGACCTTGCAGAGCCTCATGCATCTCCTCTGTGAAAGTTTCTAGTGACTTCCCCTTCATCCTGTGTCGTCTGTCTTTGCCCTTGTGAACCGGTCGCTCGCATTTACCCTGTTTCTTACGTCCCATGTCTGAAACCCTCCTTACTTTTGTTTTTAGGAGCAACTTTCACGCGTGTGTAATGGATTGATTGTATTATACCCTATTTAACCGCCTTACACCTTACAGCACACCAGTAATGCACCTACTTTACACTAAACCATGGCATAAATTCTAATGTTTATATTCTTTTAGGTCAAATCCTAAGGATTTATTCTGACACGCTGTTTCGTGAGGCCAAAACACGGTGACGTAATCAAACATGGCTGTTATTAGAACCAAGCACAAAAAACGCTAATGTAGTTAAATTATATACAAGCTAATATTATCTTGCTTCAGTTTAGGCTATAGAATTTAAATGTAAATTTTAAGCTAAACATTATGAACCAGTTATACAAAGCAGACACATAATTATCGATAAAGTAAAAACGGAAGAAGACTTTTATTTTAGACAGAATTAAACCCGGAAATGCAGCATAATATCTTTTGGTTTACTGCTATCGCCGCCCTTCCGATATTCTCGAACGTTTTAATGAATATTTCGTCTTTGTGTTTAAATTAAACCGCAAAAAGGGACACGTTTAGGTCAATTAATTGTGATTATGTCGCATATCTGTTAAATGTAAGATATTTTCTCTATAATTGATGCATTTCGCAAGCAACACGTTCCTGAAACATAACATCTTCCCATCAGTAATGCTTTCAGTTCTGTCACATGACAGAACAGAGATAAAAAAAAAACAAGAAATGTAGTTTTTCCTCACAAACCCCACTATTTGAAGAGTTATGGAGTGTGTATATTTAAAACTGCCTGTATCTGACAGCACTGGGTAAGTGTTATAGATGGAGACTTGTTTTATTGCATGATTAGATCATCAGATCAACACAGCTAAAACTGTTCAGTGTGTTAGTTCTAAAAAGCCTCTTTAAGGCTTTACATACAGGGTTTGTGTTGTTTTTAGGGGGTTTAGTTAATAATAATAATAATAATGTCAGTATCCCCTTTGTGGTGTTTTTTGCTGTTCCAGTGACTGTCACATCAGGAGGGAAGATGAAGATAGTGGAGGAACCTAATACATTTGGGTGAGGTGTCCAGCAGTACAATTTTAGATTAAACATAAGATGTATTCATACAACAGACTCTGAATCTTCATATTCTTCTCACTTTGGTTTCTCAGGCTGAATAATCAGCTTGTGTCTCAGAATAATCGACTGCAGGCGAAGATCAGCCCGTCTCCAGTGTCTGGACCTCCACATCTGCACAGACTGGCAGGGAAGTGTTACAACTACATTGAAGCCATGTCAGTAACATCTGCACAACTTTAAGAACTATCGAAAAAGCATATTTGCTGAAAATACATACATACCTTTATTCTATACTTGTGTTCACTTACATATAGGAGAGACTGGGGCTAGTTGTCAAAGAGGCTGTATCTCAGTAACTATGAGGTTTTGAGTCCAACATTTAAAGACAAAAATGTTTGTTTTCAAGTTGTCACATGTGTTTTAAATGTAAAATTAAAATGTAAAGATTTATACAATTTATTTTTTGGTCAAAACAATAATTAGATACTTTTGTTACGGTTTCATGATTTATTTTGCATTTCATATTTGTTTTACTGCTTAAATTTTACTGGAAGTTTCTATTGTGACAACATGACCTGCTAAAGAGCAACATTAGTTAGTTTTTTTTGTCCTGCAATTATTGTGGAAATGTTCGCAATATTTACTGAAGTGAAGTGACAACTAGCCCGTGTCTTGAGCTATACAGGTTCAACAATGTTGTTGATTGTATTATATGGCTTTGTTTTTTTGTTTTTGTTTTTTACTTTGTCATGAAAGAATTTGTATAGAAGCTTGTTTCTGCCATTGGATCAAAAAAAAAAGTAATTGCAACTTTTTATCTCACAATTCAGATTTTTTTTTTCTTTTCAAAATTGCGAGATGTGAACTCGCAATTAATGCACAATTGAAAAAAAAACAAAAGTCTGAATTGTGGGATAAAAAGTCACAATGACCTTTTTTTATTTGTATTTTTTTTTATACCATGGCAGAAACCAACTTCCATAAAAGTAATTGTGTGCAGTTAAAAGAAACTGATTTTTTTTTCTTTTTCTTTTTTTAGATACAAATACGTATTTTGTCCATTTCATAATGTGACTCAGCATGAACAGAGCTTCAGATGGAATGCATACAGCGGTATACTAGGGTAGTGCTTTTTATACAAGTTGTTATTATGCTTTCTTCTATATAGTTTAGCTTAAAACTGTATATGTGAAATCTCTGCTGTGCGTGTGTAGTATTTGGCAAGAATGGGAGATTCAGAATAACACGTTTACTGGCATGTGGATGCGAGAAGGAGATAAATGCGGCAACAAGAACAGACAGACCAAGGTCTGTATTACATGAACACACTGTCTTTGTGTTAATTGTAATGTGAGTTTATGGATAAGTTTTGAATGTAGCTGCATCTGTATGCATATTTTCTGCCAGTAAAATGTGATGAATGTTGAGATGTCTCTATTCAAGGTTCTCCTGGTTTGTGGGAATAGCAGTAAACTAGTGAGTGTTTCAGAGCCTCAGACGTGTGTTTATTCACTGATATTTGAGACGCCACTAGTTTGCCATTCACACTCCCTCTTGGGTGAGTTAATGTCATGTGATTTAAAAAAATTAATAAACTAACCCACTAGTTAGTTGAACACCTATCTACAATAAACCATGTCTGATTGTTCGCTTGTCTTTCAGTGTATCCGGTTTTGAGTGAGGCATTGCAGAAGGAGTGGGATGAAATTGCTCAAGCTCGATATGAAGATCTCATCACAGAACAGGTGACACACAATGTTCTAATCTTCATGCATCTGGGAACATTATAATAATAGGCATTTGTGTGTGTTCAGGGTTATAATAAGCTGCTGAAGGAGCTGTTTGAAGAGGCTGGTTTCCTGAGAAAAGCTCAACAGCCGAAAGCAGAGGAGAGCGCGACGTCTCTCACACATCAGAGTCTGGAGCAGTGCACACAGGTCAGACAGACAAATATTTAGTCTTAAATTTAAGATTTATGTATTGCATATAACATGTCCATCCATTTGGATTTCAGTTTTAAACAAACTAATAAACGTAATGAGATGCATATTTGTCAAAAATGAAACCGGTAGCACTCACCTCAAGCAATCAAAATATCATAGAGTAGTTTATTATTAACTATTTGCATTTATTTAATTATCATATTTTTAATTGCATTAATTCACATTGCTTAGAATCAGTTCTTTGTCAAAAAAGAGTTAAAAAGTATGAACGGTTAAAATATGGCTAACTGTGGAACAAGCAATATTCAGTTAAAATGTTGTTGTTTGGAACAAATTAGATGTTCATTTTCATGTATGAATGACAAATATGCATCATATTTTGTTTATTAGTTTATTTTAACCATGTAATACAAAATAAATGGACATTTCGAATGCAAAATTTTATAATTGAAAATATATCCAAATTTGATCAAATTCATAAATGTTAAATGTAGGACTAAATATTTTGTGCAGGACACATGCAATGCGCTCAGCTTTAGATTTGCTTGTGAATTCAACTTTTTGTTTCCCACAGGATTTTGAAAAGCAGCGAGCAGAGATAGAGCGGCTACGATCACTCCTAACACAACATAACATCTCCTACCAGATGACAACAGGTGAGACATTTATGCACTTCTCATCTAATGACTCAGTGAACACCAAAAAGTCACTTAAAATGACTGCTCTTAAAATGACTGAATGCATCAAATCTTTTCTTTATATATATATATATATATATATATATATATAAAAAAATAACTAAACATTTCACAAAAAGAAGTTTGTTGATGACCTTACTGTGCATTGCTGGTGCTCAAACAGGTTAAGTGCACCAACTAAATTCTTCCTGCTCTTTCAGACAGGACACGGGATCAGGGTCCCTCACCCTTCCAGGACCAGCACCTCCGCAGCGACACCGGCTTTATCGCTGATCTGCACTAACATGCCCAGCAGGATCACAAAACATACAGCTAATCGTTCAGGAAAAAAATGCTACCGTGAGAGAATGGTATTTTATAATGTTTAAATATTTGACATGATTAAGCATAAGTTGACCATGTATTATGAAAAATAAAGTTTTTATGACATGACAATGAAAGAGTTGTGCTACCATTTCTTAAAGGTGACGTCGTAAAAACTTTGTCTCTGTGGTGCAATGAAAGCATTGTGCTCCATTGTTTAAACATCAAGAGCAGCCTGAGGGGCCATTCACACAGAATGTGTTTTTGCATTTATAAAACATGAGACGCAGGACAGTGGAATGAAAAGATAATGGTGTAGAGACCTAGACGTGTCGTCTTACAAGTTTTACTTTTTGCAACTTGGGCGCTGCATCTTTATAATGCAGTTTCATGTGCGAGACGCTAAAAAAGACACAAGCGCAAGTGTCATAACATATCTGTCTAGTGCGTGTTTACACAGAAAAACTGCATGAACAGCCCCTGAACAACGTTGGCTCAGCCAATGGTGAGTGTATTTTTCTGCAAGCAACTTTTATTATCCAGACTTCTATGTTAACGTCAAATATTATATTTGCTGCCATAATATTACATATTTCTGGGTGACTCAGGATATTCAATGAAGAAAAAAGTTGGGTGGGATTTTATTTTATATTTTAGTTGGATTGTGGATATTGCGTTTGTTTTACTGATCAGTAAAACAGTGTCTTGGACTGGACTGACACCTATTGGCATGGAATGGATGTAGCTTCATGCAAAAAATGTTGATGCTATGGTAGAAATAGTCTAGCCTAATCACAAGTGTACTTGTCACAAATAATTTATTCTGCAATAAAGTTTCAATAACAGTATCAACATGGCAGCCGCCATGAGGGCTGACCACCCTTCATGTAGATTAAACCAGCTTTTTCAAGACCACAAATGTGAATGGAGTACTTCATCTCATGTGTGTGCTTGTGTTATTACAATATTATTATACTTTTTATCCATTTCTGAGTGGAAAAAAAAAAAATTGCTGTACCTTTAAAAGGTATTAAAATTAACTGTTCGAACGAACCGATTCGCTACCATGACTCGAACGTCTACTTGTGATTTGAAATACTCTTTCTGAACCACTAGATGGCAGCATCCAAAGCTTTATCGTTTTTTTTACACATTTCAGCACAGTTTTCTGCTTTGTGTAAACAAGCCAAGCATTTTAGCCAATATAGCTCTGTCATTTACACAGAAATACCCTTCTCTCACACTCCAAGCTATTATTTGCTATTGTCCAACTCTCCCTTTCCTCTGCTCTGACCATCACTAGACAGTATTAGCAGAACAAACAGCCCACATCCAGCTCAAACTGCAGATCACAGACAAAACCCTCAAGCAATCCGTGTCAGGCCTGCAGTTTCTCTTTGGTAGTAAATAAGATGTAATATCTGAGGATAGTAGTAACCACTGTCTGCAGAGACGCATCTTGTTAGAAGCCGACAGAGGCAGAGAAGACCTTCAGAGAGTTCAGCTGAAAATGACCAGACCGTGAAAAAGAAAATCCAATTACACAGAGACAGCCGAGCCCACCCGAGAGCAAAAACAACTCGATTTTTACTTCTCCTTCAGCGTCTGCCCATGCTAAACGCACCACCGTGATTGCTATGCAGTTCCTAAGGTGTTCTGGTTTTAACCCTGTGTGGTATTATGTTCAGTTTCCCTGGTATGATCGTTATGTTCTGGGTCTAATTGAACCTAATTGGATTCAATACAATTCACCAAAAATCTTCAAAGAATAAATAAATAAATAAACAAAATAAACCTTTAACATTAATACTTCTCACACATTACAAAAGAGCAAAATAAGGACATGTATTATAAATGAATATTGTAAATAGTATTTTAATATATATGTTCATATGATTTTTTTGTTTTTAATAGTTTTTTTAAGCTCAAAAAATAAAATTATTATTTTTTTTTATAATAAAAGTGTCTGCCAAATGCATAAATGTAAATCCCCTCAGAGGGTAGAGAAAATGACAAAATACATAAAAAGTTTAATATATATATACTGTATACATACATATTGATTTTTCACCTTCATATACCAAACTATACTATAAAATATATATTTAAATATATTTCAGAGGCAAGAAAATACATTTACAATCTTATGGATTTATAATGACTTCATAATGTTCAACTTTTTAATATATTGTAATATTGTAATTTTTTGGAACATTTTGAAGTATGTTTTTCCCCCACACTCCACAACACATTGCAGGCACATTCACGACTCTCAAAAATGTTTTACATAATAACAAAAACAACACATCATAATAACTATTATTATTTTTATTTAGATTTTAAAAATCACATTATATTAATAATTATTATACTAACTATTTTACTACTAATAATAGTTAGTATCTCTATTTATAATAATTGTAATAATTTTTGATGATTTGTAATAATTTATCATTATTATATATATATATATATATTATTATTTTTTTATTTTTTTTTTGGCCACTTTCCACACTTTGCAGGCACGTTCATGACCCTAAATGAGAAATAGTCACACAATTTCAAGATAACCATCTTAGCTTAACCAATATTTCGGTCAGCTCAAAAATGTGTTGCAGGTCAAATTGACCAGAAATATTATATAAGGGTCAAACATGTCGATGTGTGGTTATTAGGTGCTTTTTCTTATTGGCAGGTTGGATTTGGATCTGTTTTATTACCATCAAGGTGATAAATCTCAGAATCAGAATCAGAATCAGAATGAGCTTTATTGCCAGGTATGTTTACACATACGAGGAATTTGTTTTCATGACAGAAGCTTCCACAGTGTAACAGAATGACAGCGACAGAACAAAAACACAGATAATAAAAAATAGAACAAGTAAATAAGGAATAAAAATATATAAATTGACAGTTGTATGTGCAGGTATATTACAATAGACAGTTTTTGTATGTACAGGTACTGTATATTATGTGCAATCTGAGTCACACCTGACCTGCAAAACTACAGAAAGACAGAGCCAGTGACCTTATTACAAAGCCCTCTCTCTCCTACCTGCAGGACATCCGCTGCCTCACAATGACACACTGAAAGGGTGAAAGCGGCTGGAGATATTTATATCTGGGTTGTGTACATTAGATCATCAGTCTCTTCAGAATTTCAGATGACTCATAAAACTCCCTAGTTCATATCGGACTGCTCTGAATGGCTGTTTAGCAATCAAACAAGTACTTTTCCTTCTAAACAAGCTGTTCAGATTGATTTTTGAGGACAACATTTAAAGCTGACGAACACAGAAAGGTCAGCGCTGACGCTCCCATTTGAGCCTGTCACTCACACCTCAGGTGGGTAATTAAGGCTTTCATCGAACTAAATCCAAGCAACAAAATACAGCAATGACATTCAGCGTGAAATCCCTGAACTTCACAGTTGTCTTCTGGTGATTTCATGACGTCGCAGGAGATGAAGAAGACAACAAACATGCTGGAGGCATGTCTCTGCAGAAATGCCAGGAGATTTTGTTCTCAAGGGATCCGTGACCTGCTGAAGGCACTTGGATATTCAGGGATATTCAGCGATTACAGGACTGGGAAGATCCTCAAAGACCTGCTGAGCACAGCTGAGAGCGCGAGGTGCAGTTCTTAATGATTTCATAAAAGCAGGTCTACACACCAGACGCCTTCCTTCATATTTCTTCGGATTTGTTTTTTGAGGAGGGACGACAGGCAGTACAACAGAGATGCAAAACATCTGAGCAGTGTGAGCAGTACAGTTCAACACACTGTAACCGTGATGCTCTTTCAGTTTCTGAATCCCTGAGCACACTGACAAAACAGCCACCGAGAAAGGCATTTTTATGTTTACATAAGATTATTATATATAATAATACTATATAATATATAATAATTACTATAATAATAATTATGTTCCACATTTATAATAATAATCATTTCTATAATGAGTTCAGATTTAATATAATAAAAATAACAATAAACATTATAATAATAATTAC